ATTTGACAATATCCAATTAAATTTCATTGTTCAAGAAGTTAAAAATAAATTTTATTACTTTACTAAAGTATTTTAATTTTTTTGAACTTAGTTAAACTTATACTTGATTTCACAGGAGGCTGTAACCTTTTCTTATGCACCAGTTTTTACAAGGGAACTTCATCTTCAACAAATTGGCATTGGTGTTAATCTAGGACCAGGTAGTGAAGAAGAACAACAAGTTAGAATAGCAAAACGCATAGGACTTATTCAACATTTGCCTATGAGAGAATATGATGGGACTAAAAAAGGAGAATGCGTGATATGTATGATGGAGCTCCAGGTGGGAGAGGAAGTGCGTTATTTACCTTGTATGCATACTTATCATGCAGTATGTATCGACGATTGGTTGCTGCGTTCCTTGACTTGTCCATCGTGCATGGAGCCTGTAGATGCAGCATTGATTAGTTCATATCATCCGACCACTTAACACCAAGGAGATGGAGAATGAAATAGCTAATCGGTAATCAAACTATATTATCGCGATGAAACAGAGAAATTGGAAAAGATTATTAATTTTATTATCATATATAATGGCTTCTAAATAGCAAAAGGGTATTTTCTTCTTGTTATGGCTAAATTTGCCATTGTATTCAAATATATCTGTTCGCATGCTAATAATAATATTGTATTATAAGAAATTAGAAATTTCTTCTATATAGACATCATTCCCTCTTACAGGGTAATATTCTGCACGTGGATCATAAAAAGAAGTAAAGTGTATTTACGATCAAAATGCAATCGCCATAGTTGTTAATTTTCTGCTAAATCTAAAGTAGCTTTCCTTTCATATGGCTGCAAAAGGTATCCTATTTTATGCTCAAGTAACTGGAGCAACCAAGAGATGTAAGATTTTGCTGAAAACACTTTAAGTTGAATAAAGAATAGCAGCTACTTGACTTTGGTGATTTGGTCAAGTAATTATAGACAATTATACGCATTGTGAATATCATGAATAATATTCATCACAAAATGTCACATTATGTACATTTTTAACTATAATTGCAACAATTTCATATTTTCAAATATTTGATATCTATTTTCGGAATATATCTTATGATATATAAAATTAATCATATTCTTTTTAAATGTATTATTTCTCATTTCAATGTAATTTGATTTCATCATTCTTTAGAAACATGGAAAACAAAAATATTAGAATTCGGAATCTTTTACATATAATCCGAATTATTTTACACAAAAACTGCTTATGATTATATATTTATATTATTATTTATCATTTATATATATTTTTTATACATTGCAATACATTCAAATTATTTAAAAGCTTCAGTTCATTGAAAAAATTTGTATATTTGTATAATTACGATTATAGCGAGCATTATATATGCTATCGCATTAATATTTTTCATCATAAGCAGTGCAATTATCAAAGTCTTATTCAATGGAATTAAATATGTATTGTTTTTTAATGTTTTTCCATTTCTTTTCTTTGCTGTTAGTAATGAATACATAACACAATAGATATCTACAAATAAGAAAAAAAAAGTCATTCTTTATTTTTATAAAGATATTCATAAAAATATAAAAACTTAGAATTTTTGTGAATGTTATCATTGAAATTCAAAATGCAATTTCAACTACAAATGAAAGAACGGAGTTCGCGTAATTGTTTAGTTGTTCAATTCAAGTTCGATATAATCGAAATTTTGAACAAAGAAATTGCACGATGAGTAAGTTATTCAACTTAGATTTTCACATGGACTTAAAACTCGTAAATAAAATTTTCATAATAATAATAAAAAATTATAATAATTATTATAATTTTTCAATACATAAAAATTCAACGATCGATTTCATATAAAGAATGTAAATGTATATATATTCTTTTAAGAATATACATACGCATATGCATACATATATTTCCTACTTGGACGAAAATATTTTAATGTTTTACGAGAGCTTCATGTGTGTAATGTTATTGATTTGTTTGGAAAAAAAGTGATGCTGTGAAATAGTGATTTATTGACAAAATATAAATATAAAAATAGTGATCTAATAATAATAATACAAATATAAGTATTTAGTAACAATTTATGATTTTTTCAACAATACCTATCCTTATTTATTAAATAATAATTTGAACAATTTATTAAATAAATTTCATTCTATTTTGATCGTAAATTAAAATTCATTCTACGAGAATTTTCATGTTATATAAAATTATAATGAAAAAAATAATCATAGAATATGTTTGTGCTAAATATTAATTAAAATAAAGTAATCCTGAGATATTTCATAATAGCATACATATTTTACAATTAAATATATATATATATGTATAAACCAGTCTTGTAAATAATTCTACATATTTTATGATAGCATTAGAAATATTAATATATTCATCGAATGAAAGTATATAAGCTAGTGATAATTTATTTTGATTGTTTTTAAGTACTTTTCAATACACAATGAATAATTTATTAACTTATGTGGAAAACTTAAAAGTAAATCTTGATCCTTATTTTTTTTATTAAACTTATATGGTGTATTTTTTTATTAAACTTATATTGGTTCGCTACTATACTTAGAAAATATTACTAGCTAGGAAATATATTTCTAGTAATATGAAGGTTGGATCATTGTGAAGAAATAGAATACATAGGAAAGAAGGAAAGAAAGAGAGAGAGAGAGAAAGAAAGAAAGAATGGTATCGCGCAATCAGTGAGGGAGTTTCGCATCGGTCCGTGGGCGTCATCATGGTGTGTGGGTTAAAGCGTTTTTAAGAGACAAGTTTGTTTTTAATCGATAGAACGTGGTAATTTTTATTATTACGGTGATGCTTTTACAAGTAATGTTGCCGTTATTCCACGAATCGCTATGGAGAAAAGTATTAGTACGCAGTGTACAGTTACGAAATAAATTTTAAGCAAAACGATACGACGGTGTATACAATGTCGAATACAGAACAAATTTTTTTCGATCATCGATTTGTGTGGAAATACAAATGGGCGATTATATTATTAATATTATTTCTAACTTCATCAAACTTTATAAAAGCCAACAAGATATCGTATGGCAATACAAAGGATAATCAATGTCCTGTTGAGTGTGACTGTCTTGGAAATGTGGTGGACTGCATTAACTTACAATTGATTGGAGCACCCAGCGGACTACCACCATGGACAGAGATCTTGTAAGTAAATAATTGCATATTATCCTATCAAGAAAAATGTACATCATCATTGTATTATCATCACCATCGTATTGTCTTTTATAGTTTGTTTTAGTTCAACTTGTTTTTGAAAATTCATTAAAACATCGCAATATTTAATACCGATAATTTCTTATTTAATGAATTATCGTTAAAAGTTGTATATGATCGAATTTTTATTTTTTTTAATTCACTATTAAACTGATTTAAATTTACATTAGATATTCATTACTTAAGATTTAAATTAAAAACTATGCAGTGTAACATGATCTGATAAGATAAAGATGAAAGAGTACATTGTAAATTTATAACAGAAGTGTGAACGTAAATGATAATAATATCGATTTCATTAAATAAATCAATATAAATATTATTATTTTAATTTTGCAAATTCTTGTTAGAAAATTTGCTATTGTTAATTTACAAATATTCTATAAAACTAACTTTTCTTTATTATGTAATTTATTGAGTCCACTATGGATAAATACAACATTAATATAATCGTTAAATTATTTATTATTATTATTATTATTATTATTATATTTTAATATTTATCAATTAATTCATAATTATTCTTTATTTATTATATAAAATATTATATAGTTTTATTTTAAACATTAACAAATAAGATTAAATATTGAAAAACAAATTTTTTTTTTCAAATATATTTTTAAAGATATAATACTTAATACTTGATCGAATTAAAAAGAATAAAATTGAAATGAAAAATATTTTTTTTTATATTTGTGTCATTATATTTGTGTCATTTATAATTAAATTTTAAATATTATACAATTATATTCATAAACATAATGACAATTATTATTCCATATATATATATATATATAAAATATAAAATATATTGATTATGTTAGTAAATAAGTAAATAAGTAGATAAGCAATAAACAAAAAATATCAAAAATTTTGTTTTTTTTGCAGAGGATTAAAGGGGAACAATATAGCTAGTTTGGAGCCTGATGTTTTATTACATTTAACTAAATTGAAAGAATTGTGAGTAATATTTTTAAAAATAAAAAAATATTTCAACTGATGTTATATCTTTAAAAAGAATTATTTTAATTAATATTTTGATATTATTACCAATTATTCAAGAGATCTGAGTGGAAACAAATTTGGAGATGACTTTAGAATTATTCTGTCTGAAGGTACGCACTTACAAATGCTTAAAGTAAATAAAAACCAATTAACACAAGTGCCAGACATGTTTTTTGTTAAAAACATAACACATCTTGCATTGTAAGTATATTGCTTATATTATTAAATATTATGGGGATAGAAGAGGTTATAAGAAAAAATAACATAATAATATAAAAATAAATAATATTTTTTTTTTATAGAGCTCACAATTCAATTATCGATATAAATGGAACCGCATTACTCAACTTGCAACGACTTCAAAACTTGGATCTTAGTGGAAATAAAATAAGTGTTATTCGAAATGGATCCTTTCTTGCACCTAATTGCCTTACACATTTGTATGAAATTATTTTGTTATCCTTGAACATATAAAACTTGTAATAATAATTTATAAAGCTATTTGAAAATTTTCTTATTTTCTTACAGAAATTTAAATAAAAATCAAATAAAAGTCATTGAAAATGGAAGTTTGGATAATTTAACTTCATTAGAAGAATTACGACTGAATAAAAATCATTTGACACAATTGAAAGATCTTTTTACAAACTTAAAAAAATTGCGTATATTGTGAGAAATTATTTCATATGATTTTTTGTTGTTTATTATTGTTTATATCATTACTTATATATATTGATTATATGATTAATATACGATGTTTTTTTTTTAGGGAAATAAATAGAAATGAATTGCAGACAATCCAAGGACTTAGCCTTAGAGGTTTAAAAAATCTAAAAGAATTACATTTAAAAAAAAATAAAATTGAAACATTAGATGATGGTGCATTTTGGCCTCTCGAAAATTTAACGATTCTAGAACTTGACTTTAACTTATTAACTATGGTGAGAAAAGGTGGTCTGTTTGGATTAGAACATTTACAAAAATTAACGTTATCACACAATCGAATACGCACTATTGAAATACAAGCATGGGATAGATGCAAAGAAATCATCGAATTGTTAGTAATATTTTAATTCTGTAATATACTATAATAGAATTATGACAATAGAAAATTAACAGAATTTATCATTTTATCGATATATTCAGTTACAATGAAAGATATATTTGCAGAGATTTATCGTACAATGAAATATCTACAATTGAACGAGATACTTTTGAATTTTTGGAAAAATTGAAAAAACTTAAACTGGATCACAATCAGATTACATACATTGCAGATGGCGCATTCAGTTCAACTCCTAATCTACAAATATTGTACGTATAGTATATCATACTGTAACAACAAGATTTGTAAAAATCCAACAAATCTTTTATAATAATCATATTATTGTCAAAGGGAATTGAAGTTTAATAAAATTTCATATATGGTGGAAGATATTAATGGTGCCTTTGATCCACTCGGACAATTATGGAAACTAGGATTAGCGCACAATAGAATAAAATCGGTAAACAAAAATGCGTTTACCGGATTAAGTAATGTTACCGAATTGGATTTAACTGGAAATAATATAACAAGTATTCAGGAAAATGCATTCATTTCAATGACTAGATTAACTAAATTGAGAATGAATTCAAGTATGTATAATATATATAAATATGTTTGTAACATTTTGTGATTTAATATTTGCATTCATTTTTATCTATTTTTATCCTTGTTGTTGTATAAAGGTGCTTTAGTTTGTGATTGTGGCTTACAATGGTTAAGTATGTGGTTACGTGAGCATAGTTATACCGATGCAGAAGTTTATTGCGGATTTCCACATTGGTTACAAGGAATGTCATTAACTCAACTTTATCATAAAAATTTTACATGCGGTTAGTTTAACGATCTAAAATTATACTTTTAACATAATTTTATTTCATATAAATTCATTATTCATTCAAAAATGTTACGAATATATGGATTTCAGATGAATATCCGAAGCCAAGAATCATCGAAGAACCTAAAAGTCAGATGGGTATTAAAGGAGATAATGTGACATTGGTTTGTCGAGCAACGAGTACCACTATAGCAAGACTACATTTTACTTGGAAACACGATAATATTGAAATTAATGATGACAATCTACAAATAAACACCGATTCTACGGAGAATGGAGTAACAGAGGCAACTTCTATCTTACATCTTACTAACGTTACTCATGCAAACGCTGGAAAATATCAGTGCATGGTGACCAATACATACGGAACAACATATTCCGCAAAAGCAAAATTAAGTATTTTAAGTAAGTTATATTAATTCAAACTTGAATTCAAACGAATATTATTAATATATAATATTCAATTTGTTAAAAATATATCATAAATAATAATGAAAATTTTTATTATAGTATATCCATCTTTTTCAAAAATTCCACATGATATACGTGTAATTGCTGGAAGTACTGCTCGCCTCGAATGTTCAGCAGAAGGGCAACCATCACCGCAAATAGCATGGCAAAAGGATGGTGGTAATGATTTTCCAGCGGCAAGAGAAAGAAGAATGCATATGATGCCGACTGACGATGTATTATTTATCGTTGATGTGAAAACTGCTGATAGTGGCGTTTACTCGTGTACCGCGCAAAATCTTGCTGGTTTAATCGTTGCAAATGCTACTCTCACAATATTAGGTAAATTTTAAACATAATTGTTTGATGTGAACGAAATTAGATTGCCGTTTCTTGATAAATAATTGCGATTATGATTTTTTTTGTTCTTTTTTTTTTTTTTTAAAAGAAATACCATCGTTTGTAAAACCGATGGAAAATAAAGAAGTGACAGTTGGTGGTTCGATTGTATTGGAATGTATGGCAAGTGGTATGCCTAGACCAAAATTATCTTGGCGTAAAAATGGTAATCCTCTGTTAGCGACTGAACGGCATTTTTTCACTGCTGAAGATCAGCTTTTGATTATTGTCGACACTAGAATTAGTGATGCTGGTAGTTACGAATGTGAAATGAGCAATTCATTGGGCAGCGTTGTTGGCGCATCTCATCTTACTGTAAAACCAGGTAAAATATCTTTTTCACTTAAATTTTTTGTTCTTTTTTTCTTCTTTAAAATTTAAAATAAAATATAATACAAAAATATTGCTTATTCCACAGCTCCGATTTCGACTCCCAGCCCTGGATCGGTAAACGAAGACGATATACTTGGTTTGATAATAATCACTGTTGTATGTTGCGCTGTTGGTACATCAATAGTATGGGTAGTTATAATCTATCAAACTAGAAGACGGTTGAATAATGTTGCTCAAGGTAGACCGCATGCACAACCAACATCGACTTTAACAGGTACAGTAGCAGATACGCAAACGCACATATATTTGGAGACGAGTTCCCAGCATAGTAAAGACAGTGGTACAGGAGATAGTACCAATCCTAGTAGCGATCAATTACAATTATGTTTACCCGGTAAGTAAAAATATTTTCATTTTATTATTATTATTATTATTCTAAAATTTACTCTTATTATATCTATTTTTAGAGGAAATCGTTACATGTTCCGTGAATAATGAGGAAGAACCAAGTGCAGTGGTAAATGTAGGGGCTCCATTGTTAAGATATACTAATCATGAACGAATCGTTCGTGAGAACAAAGACTGTGCTGTTTAAAAAATGATTTCAAATATGATTTTTTTTTTCTTCGTAACTGATTCATCATGTTTCATGCATGAACATTTTCACTTACAATGTGCAAAATAATTATCGAAAAACTATCAAGCAGAATCGTTCTGATCATTGAACAACAAAGTAACAGTCACAGCAATCGTACAGTTTGATAAATTTATTGTGTCATGAACATTATTTTTGTGATGTATGATGATATGAACGTGATATGAACGAACGATAGCTTATTTTATTATGTTTTAGTTTTCATGAAAAAAAAAAAAACTTGTCAAAAGAAAAATACGTAAATTAGAAAGTACTATTGACATATAATTTGTAAATATTTAGAGTAAGAACTCGCCACGATTAATTCAATTAATGTCGCCGAGGAAAGAGCAAAGTTAACACAAGTTGACACCGGGAATTAACCCGTAACCCGCAAAAGCCACTTACTATATAAACCAGTCTTTTGTGATAGATATTTATTTTTAGGATTACTTAATTACTATTAGATTATACAATGACTATATTTATAATGCCCCATGACGTAAGTTTGCCTAAAAAAAAAAAAA